ATATTTAAAATGAGATGTTTATCCTGTATTTGATTGTATTTATCTGCAGTTAGTTACACGAATTCAGATATGGGAAGAGTTTTAAGAGTTTTTAAGAATTTTAAGAGTTTTTAAGAGTTTTAGCCAAATGCTTTATAATATAGTATAGATATTTATTTCTCGAATACATTTAACTTCAAAGATTCTATATGGTATAGAGAATGAAAAATAAATTTTCTTTCATACGTAATCATTTTTTGAGAGTTCTCTAAATTTCGAGAATTTCTTTCTCAATCTTATACTTTTTCCATTTTAAATAAGGTTTCAGGTAATATGAAAAAAAACAAAAATCTCCATATACAATTAAAACTATCAATAAATTGTAGCAACTTTTGTAAAACTTGAAAGACAAACTCACACACCCTTCTTATCTTTGGTAAGGTTTGAACATTTGACCTACTAAGAGACTTATGACTCACATACTATTAGGCCAAAGACACTTTAGTTTCTCTTTGGTCTTGTGGTTTGTTTTTGTTCTGCTTGTTTTCTTATCTTTCTCCTGCTTCTTTCATAACAACTTCCTTGTTCCAGTTGTTTGATATTAATCAATTTTGTTGCCTTTCAAAAAGAATTCATAAAAGTTGACCTAAATCAGTAGCCGATCTAGAAACTTTTATATCTCGGGCACACTTAGAGGTGTAGAATATTTATTTTCAAAACCAACTAATTCATCCAGATGAAAATGGTTTTGGGTTTTTCTTTTCAGCTTAAACGGTTCAGTTAACCGAATAAAAATAACTTATTCAAATCGATTTTCAGACTTTTTTACTAATTAATCGAGGTGTATAATTTTTATATTTTATATTTCGAACGAAAATATTAATATGTGTTGCAAATGAACTAATTAACAATCAAGATATCAAGTTGGGCCCCTTTTCTTGTTCTTATTATACGCACAATATTTCACGTATTCAATCTAGATTATATTGGCGAAACATGTATTCCTAATTATATTTCATTTAAACATAATTCACTATCCATGCACCGGATGTCAATGTCCACCCCCTCAACATCAATTATTTCTTTTAATTATGTGTTGTTATCCAAAGTCTACATTTATTATCATCATACAAAATTAAATCTTGATTATTTTCTTGAATTAAATTTCATTTAAATTTCACCCATCAAAATATAGATTTTCCTTTTTTTTATCTCTAAAGTTTTATACATGGTTTTTACATCATGTAAAACTTGATGAATAAAAACAAAATAGAATATTCAAAGTATATTCTTTAAAATATATTATTTTTCAATAATACCTCGTATATTTATTATTTGTATAAATTATACCCTTATTTTTTTTTATTTTCAACAATGTCTTGGTATTTATTATAAATTTTGGTGTAAAAAAAGCATTTGGTGTGAGTTTCAAAAGTTAAGACCACAAATTGAAGTTTTTCAAATGTGAAGGGTCTATAATGAAAATTGTTCATTTTTCTTTAGACAGTTCATCAGGCATAAGAGTTTGTGCCTCTTCTTGGATCATAAAAATCACAAAAACCTCTCCAAGACTTCAATTTTCATACTGCAATTTGATCTTCAAATCATGGAATTCTTGTGATCATCTTCACCTTTTCTTGTGCTATCATCTTACCCTCCAATGGTGATTTCATCTTCACCATTTTCTGTTTTCAAACCCACAACTTACCTTACGCTTTTCCTTATCATCATCTCCTTACACTTCACCTCCTCCGCAACCTCCAACGCCGCCGATTCCACCATAACCACCACCTGCACCGCTGTTCACCAACAAAACTCGTCCACCGCCAAATGCAATTACGTGAAATCAAACGCCGGATGTGATCCAAAAGGATACATCAATTACCTCCAAATCTTCTACTGTGATTTTTCTCAGTTTACTGAATTAGGCTTCATTCTGCTTCTCCTATGGCTCGTGATTCTGTTCTATATTTTAAGCAATACAGCATCAGAATACTTCTGTCCTGCAGTTGAACACTTGTCGAAAACCCTCAAGCTCTCCCCTGCAATCGCCGGAACTACTTTGCTTCCGTTGGGAAACGGTTCAACCGACGTTTTTTCTAGCGTAATCGCCTTTACCACGGACGGTGGTGATATCGGTCTCAACAGTATCTTAGGTGGATCGATTTTCATCTCCACCGTCGTTGTCGGAGTTCTCAGCCTATTAATCGCATACCGGAAAAAAATCGTCGTAGTTGATAAACCTAATTTCATCCGAGACGTTGTTTTTCTCCTCTTCTCCCTCTCGAATCTCCTCATAATCATCATCATCGGAAAAATCAGCTTATGGCCGTCAATCCTCTTCGCTTCTACTTACATAATTTACATTTTGGTGGTCTCTTACATGCATTTCATCACCATGAGGAAACACAGTATAACACTCGATGCCGTTGATGATGATCAAGGCCGAAGAGTACCATTACTGGGTTCTATCGATGAAGAAAATGTTGTACATCCTGCAGAAAAATATGTACATTATGAAGAACAAATTGTACCGAACCGGCGAAACAGGTTTATCATGACCATTTTTCATGTCATAAATTTCCCAATTTATTTGCCCAGAAGGCTTACAATTCCAGTGATTACAAGAGAGAGATGGTCCAAACCTTTTCTCGTGATTTCGATGATATTAGCACCAATCATGGTGGCTCTGATTTGGAACACACAAGAGGGAAAACTGGGGTTAAAAGCTAGTGTGATGATCTACTTCGTGGCAGGTGCAATTGGAATAGCTTTAGGGACTTGTACATTTGCCTTCACAAGTAGTACACATCCACCACAAAATTGTTTAGTTCTTTGGTATGCAGGTGGGTTTCTAATGAGTGTCGTTTGGACCTACCTTACTGCTGATGAATTGGTCTCTTTGTTGGAATCATTAGGAACCATTATAGGAATGAGCCCTTCAATCATTGGGCTAACCATCTTGGCTTGGGGAAACTCGATCGGGGACCTAACCGCGAACGTAGCCATGGCTATGTATGGTGGACCCGACGGGACTCAAATCGCAATGTCGGGTTGCTATGCTGGACCCTTGTTTAATCTTCTTATCGGTCTGGGATTTTCGTTCGTTTTTGTATCGTGGTCAAACTATCCCGGTTCGTATGTGGTTCCCGAAGACCCGTATATAGCCGAAACCATCGGGTTTTTGATGGCGGGTTTGCTTTGGGCGCTTGTGATTTTGCCTAAAAGACAGATGCGACTCGATCACACGCTTGGAGGTGGGCTTTTGGTGATTTACTTGTGCTTCTTGTTTATAAAGCTTGCAAGGGCTCTTGGATTGCTTAGTGGTTCGAGCTCTAATTAAACACCTCTTAGGTTATTTGTAAGTAAAATCTTGTACAACTTTTAGGACCTTTTGCTTTTGTTTTAATAATTTAATGTAACGTATCTTTATGACTTTATCCCATCACACATTATTTAAAATATAAAAAGATTAAGGGGTTGTTAGGCAGTTGCTGAATGGTTTGATGCAAAATAATTAAGTAATCAGAATGATTAAAAGGCTCTCATGATATAGTGCAAAAGAAAATATAATTGTTTGTTAATTGTTTACAATGAAATTTGGCGCTTCATGGTTAAGGGAGGTTTATGATACAAAATCATTTAGAGGGTTTTAGATACATTAAGAGATAGATTTGTTTTTTGTCAAACAAGATTCACCTCTTAATGGAACTATTAAGAGGTAAACAAACAACCTGTAAGATTATGAAGTTTGTTAAACTTTCTCTCGAACTGGTCTTAAACAGTAGAGAAAGCAAGATTTCTAAGAGATTTTATGTATCAGAGATTTTAAATTAATTATATTAGTAAAATAGACTTGGGATCACGTGAGACCAACATGTTTTCATGAGATCTGTAATACTATTTTTTTTACACTTGAAACTTCACAACAAAATATTGTGAAGGTAGGTAACATTCACAATGTTTTTGCTGTGAAGTTTCAAATGTAAAAAAGTGGTCTCACGAAAACATATTGGTGTCACGTGAACCTAATCCTAGTAAAATATTCTATAATTTTATCATCTAAATATACTTTAAAAAAACTTTATACAAGTAGTAATAATTAAGCTCATTAGTTGAAAGAAGTAAATAAAATCATTCCTCTCTCTTACATCAAAGTGTTTAAGGGTCCAAATCTTTTCTTGTGCTTCTCACTTTAACTCCTACTGTTACATGATCTTTCGTTTTTCATAAATTGACATTTCATATAAATTAAAATTATTTGAAAGTTCGGTAAGATATTAATTTTTTTAATAATATATTAATATTTAAATCTCCAAAAAGATTATAAAAAAAACATTGAGATTGAATGTAATTTTTTTAAATGTAACTTCTGTTTCTTCACTTTAAAATAATCCATTGAAGTCTTAGAGATGCTCTTAAGTTTTTCCATAACGACAATAACTATTTCGTGCAAGATCCAACCTCATATCATATCATATCATATGGATGCATCCAACATGTGTTTATAAGATTAAAAACCCGATTAAGACATGTACATCCGTTTTTTACCGTTTAAAAAAAAAACACAAGAATTAAATGTAATGGATGGTGGGTATTAATTGAAAGAATGGTCCTATTTTGTACACACATGATTGTTCACTTTCACGTTATCAAAAATCAAATTGGCCACCTTCTTTCCATAAAATTGGCCAAGTATATACCTTTTGTCACCCACTTGCAAGTGTTGAATATTGAAACAAATTCATGATTAATGGGCACAAAGATTTGGCATCATCAACACTACCAAATGTTTAAATCTGATGGTGGCTTCCAGATAAGATAACTAGTGGACTTGGAATGTAACCATGCAATAATTAAGTGATAGGGATGGTTAATTGTATCACTTATTTTAAGGTTGATATTAAGAATCGATTCCAAACGTAGGTTTATTATTTAGTTTGTCTCGTTTGATTCGTTATCTGGTTTTGATCAATCGGAGTACGCATGATAAATTGTAATGTAATGTACCGAAAGGGTTGATATTTGTCACTGTCAAATAGTATGTCAATCTTGACGCGTTTATAGTAAAACGTCCATAAAATAATATCGTCCAAAAAAGGAACTACGTTCAGTGATTTCTTGTGGTTCCGACTCAGATGAATGGAATATAGTTATACAACCTCGATAAATTCATTAAGTAATAAAAATTTTGAATTCTTAAGAATAACATGTAAGTAATAATGCATCGATTTCATTCTATACGTATACAAATATCTATACTATATTATAAAGCATTTGACAAAACTCTTAAAAACCATTTTTTATGCGTAAAATACTGTTTATTAATACATATTACTTAAAACTCAAGATTGCAAGTAGATTGTGTGTAAATACAATTTATTAAAGCTTCATATCTGAATTCATGTAACTAACTGCAGATAAACATAATCAAATACAAGATAAACATATCATTTTAAATATAAAAAATCTAAAATATAATTAAGATAATTATTGAGTTTTAACAGAATACTTAATTGTTATCTTTATAAAATTATTAAACCAAAAATGAATTATTTCGTTATTAAATTTAAATTAAATTATAATAAAAAATAAATTAAAGAAATTACATAAAAAATGAGAACTTTTAAATTGTTGATTTGATATTAACATTGATATATTTTTTTCAAATTTTCATGGTATCTACAAATTTATAATTTATTCAAAAATAATATTATTATTGATTTCTTAAAAACACATAAAATCGTATTATAACATCGACGATAACAAATAATAAAATATAACATTAAAATCGAGATGTGTCTTGTTGTTTTGCGCGAGTACTATTCTAATACATATAAACGCATGATCATTTACAAACACAATAAATCTTACAAACGAGTTATGTCAAAATGCAATGTTTATGTAGTGTTGTTTTATATGTGAAACATTCATGACTGTTTCGTGTTTTGGGAAAAAAAATCACCAACATTCCACTTATGAATTAATATTGTATAAAAAACAGTATTTTCACAATTGTTGTTTCATATATGAAAGAACGTATAAAAGATAATCTATAAAATTATACAAATTATTGGGTTTGTAAAAGAATATGACTATATATATATATATATATATATATATATATATGAACCAAAATCTTTTTATTAATTAATAATGTTGATACAATAATTATTTTCTTTTAAAAAAATGTGCGTCGGTAGTTGATTTTCTTTTCTTCCCACCTAACAAAACGAACCTCGACCTTAACTTATTGTATATCATACACAACGTCCAATGATATTTTGCCCCTGTTGTTGAAATATTTGTTAACTTAAGGTGACCATTACTTGAAATGCCTATTTTGACGACATATTTTGGACCACGTTGTTATCATTTGGTTCAAGATCATTCTCATCATCATTACCGTTCACTACCAGTTGAATAAATCCAACATCCACCACATTTTTGTACCGTAAATTAGAGCTGACATCGTTTAATCTTTGTATACCTTCATCTGCTTCACCAACTTCTGGTTTGGAAACATTGTTTCGAATTCGTCTCCCTAGATGTTGCAATAACAGGTCATGTCTTCACTTCAAAATCCCAAGCCATTTTAACACTATACTGAGCGTTCAAAATGTCAGTTCTTTCTTTACTATTTAATGCTTCAACCTCGAGGCCATGTAAGATGCAAGAATAAAAACGACGATAATAAGATTTGAGTACTGAAATAATCCCAATATCACATGGTTGAGTCCTCGATGTTGTGTTATGTGGTAAGAGAAATAACCACACATTATCAAGCCTTCGACTATGTTTGACTGAGTTGGGCAACCGTCTATTATCAAGAACGTCTTGAATGTATTAGACAATTTTTTTTTCTTCAACGCGGATATCCCAAAATATAAAAAGAAATTGAAAGATAGTGTAAAATTCTGTATATTTTGAGAATTCCCTAAAACTGATTATCATGGTATATAAATAAATTTTATTTTATTTCTGTCGATCACGAAAAAAAAACCCTTAAAATTGAATATTTATTAATATATATGTAATATTTTAATAACATAATTAACGGTGTAATCCACTTTTCCAACCGACATTCTTGAGAGAAAAACCCACTTTTTGCAAACTTTTTTTGCTACCTGCAATTAAAAGAGTAAATTACCTTTTTCGTTGCTATGCTTTGTTAAAAGTTACAATTTTCGTCCTTGTGATTTATCATCCTTATAGTATGTAAATCATTGTTATTTTCGTTCTTATGATTTATAATTTATTGTGGTTTACAATTCTTTATTATTTTGGCCTTTTATACTTAAAAAGATAAGAATTAATTCAGAGATTAAAATAGCAATAAATTACAAATAATAAGGATGAAAATCGTAATTTCTGAATCACACGGATAAAAATCAAAAATTTTAACAAATGATAAGGACTAAAAATGTAATTTACTCTTAATATTCTTCATGTTCACATTTTAAAATATCTAGGGTATGCCTACCTTCCAATAATCCCAAATGATTCTTTGCACCATTGCAACAAACAGATTTTTCAAGATTGAGAAAATTAAGATTTTGATTAAAACAATTAAAAAATTCTTTAAAATAGAAAAAATATGAGAGATATTCCAATTTAAAATACTCCTTAAAAATGATTTTTTATTTTTTTGACCAATGAGAATGTTTGAAATTAGATGTTTAGTAAATATAAATAATATTTTATGAATTATATCGGAATTTTTTAATATTATTATTATATATAAATGAAGAAGCTGTTAAAATAAACATAAGTATCTTTTCATAAACATTAACTTTTGATTTTTTATTTAAAAAAAATCTATTGAAGATAATGTTTACTGCTCTCTCTTATCACACCAACCAACCGACAAATTCTTGAAAAAGCATGCCACTTTTCCAAACCTTTTTATTACTTGTAGTTAAAGATGTTTCATTCCCAATACCCCAAAGTGGTTCTTTATTAGAACCACAAAGGTGATGTCTGATTGGTTTGAATTTGGCTCCAAAGATCAAAAGTACTAAGAGGTCTCACGTTCAAATCCAATAAGGAATAAAAATTCTCTTGTGACCACGGAGGTTCAAATGCGGTGACTCCGGGCTATCTGCAAAACAGATTGTCGTTCTATGATTAGTCGGTTCGTATAGCGGGTTGGATATCGAAGTTATTAAAAAAAACCATAATATTACTGTGAAATCTAAGTTATTATATTTACTGTGAAAAAACACTTGAATGTCAACATGAAAAAAATCATGATTTAACTTGAGAAGCATGTCATGGAGAATGAAGATTTATTTGAGTTAAGAAAATCTGCGAGCTTCAAATTCGAAAATTGAAAGGTGAGCATTAGTGGTTAAATTTCAAATGGATGAGTTAACTTAGGTATTTCACCATAATATTTATTTCACTATGCATTTATTTTGGCGTGTTATTTAACCTCTATATTTTATCACTTACGTTGTCAAACAATAATTGAACTCATACAGACATGTGTTGTGAATAAACAATAAACGTTCATCATTGGCACACAATTCAAATCAGATATAGGCTCTTAAACTCCTGTACTGTAGTTTGTGCTTTAGGAGGACAAATTTGATGACGCCTCGTCGCTACTGAAGTTATTTGGTATGATCAAATGGTCTTTGGCCTAGGGGTATTGTAGTCTTTGTTCATCTTGTAATGTTTGAGTTGCTTCGAGCTAATCAAAACACAATTAGAGTGAAGTGGTCAGTTATTTCGATTTGCATCATACAAGAGAATAATCACCAAATAATTATTAAAAGGACATCAGTAAGTATGTTAAAGTGGTTGAAACATTCTCATGATAATGCAAAAGTTGCTACTTCATGCAATCGATGGATATTGCCATATTGCCCAATCGATATTTTATACGTGTTAAAAAAAAATGATGAGTTTTCACCTTTTGTGTGCGACCTTATATATCTTTCAAGAAAATAAACAACATAAGAAAAAAAGAGTAGTATTTGAAAAAGGGCAAATTGCATGAAAAAGTAATGTACTTTAATTTGATTCATATTTTTAGGCAACGTACTTACATTTTTGTACCTAAGATGTAAAGTTTTAAACATTGAAGTACTCGGGTAACTGGTTGAAGCATTAACCGATTACCATACTGATGTGCTATCCAACTCAGTATTATTTGCTGACATGGATATTTAAATCTAAAATTAGTTTTTATGTATAAGTTATTTTATAGTATCCGGTTAATGTTGCAACCGATTACCCGAGTATTTAAAAGTTTAAAACTTTACATTTTAGGTACCAAAATAAAGGTTTTGAAAATATCTTATCTAAATTAAGAATCAAGTTAAAATACGTTATTTTTTCATGTAATTTGCCATTGAAAAGATATAATATGTTATTTAGGGACTGTTATGTATTTTGGGCTAAGTTTGGTGCAAATTAACACTTTGAATTTTGGGCTCCAAAGTTGGGTCCTTTTTCTTAATCTTTCTAGAACGTTGCTTAAGCCATTTTGTTAACTTTAATTAAAAAATTAAAATTTTTAATTAATAAAAAAATAACTAAAAAATGAATTTGATTGAAAAGGTCGACTATTTTGGAACAATTTCCATTTGAAGTACGGTGACATTGAAACCCCAAATGGACCACAGGTACATGGACTAATTTGTAATTTAGTAATATTACAAGGGTGCGAAGTGAAACATATTTTACCCCTTTTAACCCAAAATTTGGGCCTCTTTTGTAATTTCATATTTTGCAAGGGCGGTTGGAGGTCCTCGCCGCCGCAAAAGCCTTAAACCCTCCATCGACCTCTGCTAACCCCTGACGCAGCCATCAACGTCCGTATTCTCACACACACGGAGCATGGAGCGACCTCAGAAGTCTCACAGGTCTCGTCAATCTGGTCCTTCCGCCAAGAAGAAATCTGATACTGATAAGAAGAAACGCGACCTCACCGAAGAGAAGAAGCAAAACCCTAAGGTTTTCGAAAAAAATATCAACTTGTTGGTTGTTTCATGATTTATAGCATTCTTTATTGTCCATTATCGATCTTGCTCGTATTTGACACAACTTTTTAACGCTTCTTATGTTGGTGAAATTATACCAAATTTGAAGTTGAGAGTAGCTCGTGTTACATTCCTGAAGTTCGAACTGTTGCTCTGTTTTTTGGAAAGAGTATAGTATATGTTATCATAGCGGTGTTGAATTTCAAAGAAGTTTTTAGTACTTAGCTGTTTTCATCCATTCGTAGTATCCATGGTTGTAAATTATCGATGTCGTAGCAATGTAGCACCAACTATAGCAATTACGATTGAGGTTTATATCCATTTTTAAAATTTTGAATGTAACCCTGGTTACATCTACAAATGTCGCAAGGCTTACTCTATTTCTGGAAAGGAAGGAGTTATATGTAGAAGATGTGATTGTAATGATAGTCAAATTTTGATACCATCAGTTTTAGAATCATGACAAAACCTTTGAAATGTTATGTAGGCATTTGCCTTCAATTCGACAGTGAAAGCTAAGCGCCTACAGTCACGTGCTTCGGAGAAAGAGCAGCGTCGTCTCCACATCCCTACCATTGATCGTACTACAGGAGAACCTGCTCCTTATGTTATTGTTGTGCACGGGCCACCTCAGGTTCTCATCAAACTTAATTTATGATCAATTGGATTTAATTCAAATTAAACACCATGGGTGATTTTTTGGGGAGTTCTAATCATGATAGTAATACTGATCGTTGTGTTCTGAGGTGTCAACATGTTAATAGGTCTATTTGGAGTTGTATAATGTGGAAACTTCAACTTTTTCTTAGGATTAACTGCAGTTGTGACTTTGCATGTTAGGTTGGAAAGTCTCTACTTATAAAATCTCTTGTTAAGCACTACACCAAGCATAATATACCAGATGTACGAGGTCCACTTACCATCGTATCAGGTATGTATATTAGAAATTTTAAATGCAATAGGTTCTAATGGTATTCATGAAGTTTGAGACATATCTCTTTTGTTTCATGTTAGGTAAGCAAAGGCGGCTACAATTTGTGGAATGCCCAAATGATATCAATGGTATGATTGATGCCGCAAAATTTGCTGACCTGGCACTGCTGCTTATTGACGGGAGCTATGGTTTTGAAATGGTGGGTTTTCGTTGTTTATGCGTCTGTATGTTTAGTATTTCACATTGTTAAGAATTGATGACATACAGTCAACTTTTGAAATGAAAAGAACTTCAAAGTGCATCATTTTTATACATGATAAACGAGCACTTGGGAACTTGTCTCAATGCATGCTTTTATGTACTTCCAACCATGATAAACGTGGTATAGGTAATGGATGGTCATAAGAGATGCAATATGAGTCCATATCACAAGAACAAGCTTGCATTGTTTATCAACATTTACCATTCAATGCTAATAAAATGCAAGTATGCAACTGCACCTTAGTAAGTCACTTAGTGCCTGTACCCTTTATGTTAATTTTGTTTTTGAGAATTTGATAGAGGACTTGATGCTTTTGCTCTAGTATTCAATTACTTTCTTTCTATAGTTCCTTTTACATGATTTTCCAAAACTCTCCATGGTGACATGCACATGTGCATTTAATGTGTAACTGTAAATTAATATGGAATTCTTTTGCAGGAAACATTTGAGTTCCTTAACATTTTGCAAGTTCATGGATTCCCCAAGGTTATGGGTGTTCTTACACACCTTGATAAGTTCAAGGATGTTAAGAAACTCAAAAAGACGAAGCAGCGGCTTAAGCATCGGTTCTGGACTGAGATATATGATGGGGCCAAATTATTCTATTTATCTGGTCTTATTCATGGAAAGTGAGTGGCTTAGTGCTTATGTATTTAGTCTATTCTTTCATTTAACACTTAAATATAATTGGCTAAGTATCATGAGTTGATACACAGTGAGGTGATATTATTTTCATTGGCAAACAGGTATGTCAAACGTGAGATTCATAATCTTGCAAGGTTCATTTCTGTTATGAAGTTTCATCCTCTGTCTTGGCGAACCACTCATCCTTACATCCTGGTCGACCGTCTCGAAGATGTCACAGCCCCAGATAAAGTGTCCACGAATAAGAAGTGTGATAGGAACGTGACGTTGTATGGTTATTTGCGTGGTTGCAACATGAAAAGAGGAACCAAGGCATGCATTTTTACCCTTGCCCTTTCATCACTGCTATGCGTATTTTTTGTGTGAATACGTTGGACTGTCTTTTGCAAGTCAAAGTTATAAGTTTGTGTCTTACATTCTGTTTTGCATTGTTACCTTTTCTGTAACAAGATCTGTCAGTCATGTGTTCTATTATGCATAACATTATTACATAGAGTGTGAGATTGGTTTGGAACAAGTACATGACTAAAAGTGGTATGTAAAATGAACATGATCTATTGGGCAAAACCCATGGGACATTGATGTAAGAACATCTTCCATATGTAATTATTTGACATTAGGGGGCTAGTGAGGCATATGTTAAATGGGAAAGAAGAAATTACATGATCAGGGGAGGGATCATAATTGAGATTATCCTGTTAATGAGATTCCAGAAACATATTTGAAGGTGCACATTGATTTGCTAGAGAAGTCTGATAGGAATTGGACAGAAATATTAATAATGACAGAAAATTGAACAAACAAATAGTAAACGAAGTTAACGGACAAGATAACAACCTATATTTGAGAGATAGGATAGCTCTCCTAGATATCCGGATACTTTCGAGCGGTAGACCAGCTCTGCTGATGATGCTCACTTAGGCATTCGATCTTTGTAGTCAAAATATTCATGGCCAACACATTGACAGCCACTATTTATGGACCTAGATGAAAATATCAAACTACCCTTCACAATTAATTCAGGCATAACAAAGTCATGATAGTAAGAGTAGTTTCATGAGCTCTAGGTGGACAAAGCTTTCATGTCTATCACATATGATGGTATACATCCCCCGTCCATGATCCTAATAGCTTTTGCCTTTATGCTTTTTTTCATGGCATTGCATAAAATATCGCTTTTGGTTGGGTAACTTTTGTTGCATCTATCCTATTTTGCCTTTCAAAGAGCTTTTCTTAAGCATTCAAACTAGTTAATGTAAAAATTCATGTGCTCGTCTTTGTGTGTGTTCTTGCTAGAAATATCTTTTCTTTATATTGCAAGTTGTTGGTCTCTTTTCATGGTCTTATGCGTCCACCTACACTCGAGTATGTAACATTCATTCATTTCAAATATAGATCTTTTTATATCTAAATACCCTGTTATCGTCTTGTTAAGTTTTTTTTTTATGTAAGGATCCAAATACACCACTTTCTAATCCACTGCTCGTACTCAGGTGCATATTGCTGGCGTCGGAGATTATAATGTAGCTGGTGTAACAGGGCTAGCTGATCCTTGCCCTTTACCTTCTGCTGCAAAAAAGAAGGGGTTACGTGACAAAGAGAAGCTGTTTTATGCACCTATGTCTGGAGTGGGGGATCTTTTATATGATAAGGATGCTGTTTACATAAATATTAATGATCACTTTGTGCAGTTCTCTAAAGTTGGTGATGAAGATGACAATGCACGAAAAGGTTAATACCTTAGTATTTTTATGAAGTTTGCTGCATGATGTAAAATAACTGATAGCTCTTTATCAAAATTTTGAGACCATCCATCTTCTTTGATTTCTGAAGGAAGATGGTCGCATAAAAACAGAGGATATTTTTCCGCAAAGGGGGCCAAGTAATTTATATTAAGCATCATCACTTGGATTAATCTTCTTTTACTATCTTCTGTAGTTTCAGTAGTGAAAGACATGGCGGATTTTCAATTATATATTTTACATTGCTCTTTCTTTCAGAAGGTCCATTATCATATGATTCTGATGTAGGCTAATGTCCACGGCAGGAGGCTGATATTGGTATAGCATGAACTGATGTGATCTTGTTTCACAGGAGCGGAGAGGGATGTAGGCGAGGTTCTTGTAAAATCACTTCAAAACACACAATATTCAGTTGATGAGAAGTTGAATAAAAGTTTTATCAACTTTTTCAGTCAAACAAGTAACAATCCAGGAAAAGTTATGAATGGTGATGAACAAGACGATGAAGATCATGTAAAACATAAGAACTCCATAGAACCTATGGAGGAACCTGATACTGTTGGTTCTGATGAGGATAGTGATGGTGAAGATGTAGATGACTTGGAAGAAGCTAAAAACCCTCATGAAAATTCAACTACAAAAACTTTTGGTGACAGCCCTGAACTAAAAGATAATCAGCAGGAACGTGCACGAAATAACATTGAGGAAGAAGTTGAGTTCCATAAGGGAAGAATGAGGAGAAAAGCAGTCTTTGGAAATGAAAGCAAGCTTGATGATCAAGAGGTAACACTGTACCAGTTTGAGTAAATGCGTTTGTTGTTGTCATAATTATATTATTTTACTTTCTCCTGGGGATTTCCAATTGCAACCGTGGAAGTTGGTTCCAAGTGCTCATTGCTATTTAGTTTATATGTTGCATGAATCTTGGTGGTTGCTGTTTTGCTATGCTTAAGTTCTTAGAAATCTGGAATGGTCCTGCATAGTTGAGTATTGATAATGCTTTAGGTTGTATGCAATTCACATGTAATCAGTGTTCTAAAAGACATCAAGTAGATTCAAGCCAATGTGCAACCTTCTACTGCTTAAAGTAAGTGGACCCCTGAGCACGTCAGTTTTAATATATTTTATATGAACTTCCCTATATAGTGCACTAATTTTTCCCAGTCCTTTCGAAGGACGAGGCTGCATATGCATTTTTCCTGGTTGAGATGGAAAGGATATCATATCCACTCTTAGTCCAGCTTTTAAAGATGAACAAACTACAAAAATTCAAGTCTATATAATACATTTAGTTAAGGATTTATCATTGTTATTTACTGCTACTACTACTACAGTACTACTGCTTCTTTCTCTGTTGTGTGTGGGTTAGTTGGTACAGCTTTTGTTTCTGTAGGGATTGAAAGCATTGCATCATTTCTCTTTTGTGCTTGTGTTTTTGGATTATTATATTCTGTGTTCTAGATTGACACTATGTAAGATTTAGTCGGTGGTTTCTCTTTAGCTTGTGATATTTTTCTATTTTGTTTAGAATTTTTTATAGAAGGTTATCTCAAATTTGGTGCTCTCGTTAACCATTATGATGGTTTTCTCCAATGGTACTTCTCAAATCGATGTTGAGAGGGGGAATAAATTAAACATGTGGTTTTCAATCTCCAAGCTGTCATTATACTTTTGGACCTTGTATCTGCTGCCAACTGGGAGCTGGAAATTTTGTCCACCTTGTTTATGTAGAAATATTTTTACGACTTTTCTCATGGAAGTTGTGCATAGTTGCAGGCCACTGATGATGACGAGGAAGTAGAAGACGATAATTCAGATGAAGAATCATCTTCGTATTCAGATTCTTCTGGGGAAGAGGAAGAAGATGATCTAGAAGGTGCACTTCATATTCCAATCTTAACTTACTAGGTGTTCATATCATTACAATATAAAGCAAGCAGTTCTTTTAAGATTCAGGTGATTTTTACTGTAATGGGAGTTGCAAACAGATCTACACATAATAAAGTTAGATAATTAAAGAAGGTTTATCTTCTTTGCATTCCCTCCAGTGACTTGGAAAATATGCAATTGTTGAAGATTGTGGTTGGTTGGAGATTTATCTCTTTGCTGTTGGTTTCTCTGAAATTTTTAGTTGATATCATTTGCTGTTGCTTATGGCAGAGAATGTGGGAAATGCTTCCAAATGGAAAGAATCATTAGTTGAGAGGACAATATCAAGGCAGAACATGAATCTTATGCAACTTGTGTATGGGCAGTCTGAATCCAAACCAAATGCTTCTCTTCGTGAAGACAGTGATGCAGAGGAAAGTGACGATGAAGAATTTTTCAAGCCCAAAGGTGAAGAAAACAAGGTTTGGCCTACTCATGCTGCTCATTCATCATACTTGCTTCATAGTTTGCATATTATTTCAAATAAGAAAACTAGCTTTTGAATTAGTACATGATGTCTAGAATTGACTTGATCTGTTTTTACCTGTTCACTTATTTGTTCCAGAAATTAAGGCAAGGCTTGGAGGGAGATCAAGTGAATACCGAAGATAGCTCAAAATTCACCAACTACGCTAGCGTAAGGGACTGGAAAGATGGAGAAACAGTTGAAAGCATCCGTGATCGTTTTGTAACCGGAGATTGGTCAAAGGCTGCTCGGAGAGGCAAAGCCACCGAGGTGGACAGTGAGAATGATGATGATGGTCCTGTATTTGGTGAGTTCGAAGACTTGGAAACCGGCGAGAAGCATGAAGGTGATCAAACAGGCGAAGCTAATGAGGAGCCTGACTCTGCTGCTGAAGAGCGGAGGCTTAAAAAGCTAGCTCTTCGTGCAAAATTTGATGCTCAATATCCTCAAAAATGATTATACTATTGCATTATTTTATTGTCGAGATTTCCACATTGTTATTCGCCTATCATCTTCTGTTATCATCATCACATAGTTGTTTGCTTTTTTTACTGGTAGAGATTCTTGTTTGGCATATGTTTTGTGTCCTTGATTCCTATATACGTATAATGGGTCTGAATCACCTGACGAAGCTGATGACAACAGCCACAAAGGCAAGGATAACAATGGCCAAGCTAATGAAGGTGGTTTTCTCGACAAGGTAATATTATGTCATTAGATAATCGTCATTGAAATATTACTTGCTTTTATTCATAGTTGGTTCCTGCAGTTGAGGGAGGAAGCTGAACTTCAAAGGCAAAGGAATATAGCTGAACTCACCGATCTGGATGAGGCCACACGGGTAGACATAGAAGGTTACAGAACAGGAACTTACCTTCGATTGGAGATTCATGATGTTCCTTATGAATTGATCGAACATTTTGATCCCTGCCATCCTATTCTTGTTGGTGGAATCGGCTTCACAGAGGAAAACGTTGGGTATATGCAGGTTAGGAAAAATGTAGAAGGTTATTTGTTTTCCGCATTACTAGTATTGGTTTGAATTCTAAGACACTGTCTCAATTGTTAAAAATTAGGGCAACTTTGTGCGACCTTTTCCTGCCCTCCCCCTTGTTTGTTCTGTTTGAAAATTTGGTTAATTGATATGTTGGTGTGTTTTTTTGAAGTATATAATATTTATATACGACAAATGCTCATGCACACTTGGGTGATATGTTCATATGTTTTGAGTTAGAAAATTGCATCTAGCCTATTGTTTGGGTAGTTACATGCACTTCAGGTTGATTATTGGGTGTTTCTTGTTGATAATCCATGTTATGTGATCTATTGCTCCTATTTCACCTTTTAACATGGTGATGTTTTCATTTCTTCTAGGCAAGGTTTAAGCGTCATAGATGGCACAAAAAGGTTCTGAAGACTAAAGATCCTATAATTGTTTCTATTGGATGGAGGCGCTACCAAACTCTACCTATATATGCCATTGAGGACCTCAATGGGCGTCATCGTATGCTCAAGTATACTCCTGAACACATGCATTGCCTTGCCATGTTTTGGGGCCCGCTTGCACCTCCAAACACTGGGGTTGTGGCTGTGCAGAATTTGTCAAATACTCAGGTTAGCTGGCTTCTTTTTATGATCTATAACATTTATAGTGGCCTATAAGTTCTGGCCACTCATTCTTGGAAAAAAGTTGATTGCATACTTCCTTGGGTTCGTCTTTGTTTTTGTATTTTTTTACATATTAGCTGTTCCTGATTATAAATGCTAAAGGAGTCAAGCTTGCTATTTCTATGTCTAATTGACCAACATTTCTTGTAATCTAGGCAGTTAATGCATGCTATACTCTTGCTCATTAAAGACAATGTAATAATATGATATTATCTATGCACTAGTTTATCATCAAAACTCTACCACCTACGTTCTATGGTTCTCCATCATATGCCCACTCTAGTCTTTATATACTCCCTCCCTGAATGTCCAATAAGTATTGCAGCATTTTCCCTTTACAAATGTCACATGTCAGAAAATGATTTTGGCATAACAATTACAAACTAGTTTTGATTATTCATGGATACAAGTTACCACCAAAGAAAAATTACAAAAAAAAGGTTTTAGACTGGGCACAGCACTTAAGATTGCTTTCTTCATGCCCATTATCACCATACTTGTGCAGATGGTCACCAAAAATGGTCCTCAAGAAACAAAGTTGTAACAGTATTTTATCTCAATCAACTGCACACAACGAAATAATCTGTACTTGTTTACCCAATTACTTGAATTCGATAGTTAGATGAAGGTACATAGGATTGACATTGATGTAAGAGTTTTAGTGAGAAGACAAAGAAGTATAAACCACTCGGGCATCGACCCAACGCCTAATTGATTTTAGGCGATTGAAAATATCATTCTTATGTGTATGATTTACCCCCAGAGGGACTTGAACCCTCGTTGTCTCCGTGAAAGAGAGAAGTCGTTAAACCGCTGAGTAATGTATTGATGACTAGAGACTACTCTATGCTATTATATCGGTCAGAATACGAAATATCGGTCAGGACCGATATTCGATATATCGGTGATATATCGGAAATAGTGGTTAACATAACATTTCTTAGAATTATATATATAATATTCATTAATTAGAGTTTAGAAATATAGTTTCAAAATTAAAACATCACATCATCTAAAGTGTTCAAAAACAAGCTAATCGCAAGCAATAGGTTCGACATCCGAGTCAACATCATCCAATACAAGAAAGAAGAAGACGTTGTGGAGTAAGGAAGCTTCACTGATTTCAGATTCAGACCTAATTTAGCCCAAAAAATTAGGCCCATGGAATAACAAAAGCCCAAAATTTTGAACCTTATAAAATCGGTATATCGGTCCGATTTTTACCTCAAAATATTGCTAAAAAATCGCTAAATAACGCCGATAATATCGGCCCCGATATTTTGACCGATATTTATGGTCCGATTTTTTTTCTAGGAGCGATATCCGATATATCGCCGATATATCGCGATATTAACAGCATAGAGACTACTATTCCGAGTCTCTTGAGAGATAGAATAGTACTTTGCAGGTCCTTTTGAGAAATTTCTTTTTTTACTTCTGGCATCCGACAGTTCTATATCACATCTGTAAAGTTCACAATTTGAAGTATTTTAAAGACTAATGAAATAAGCCCAAACAATATAATCCATAAGCCTGTAATGGGAGTACCCTTGAACTTATGTTCAAACAACATTCTTCAGTCCCAATTGACGAAAGGATACAACCTTCAACTTGTATCCAAATCATAATTGTTCACTTTGTATTTAGGTAATAGCGAACATACATAAAGCACAAGTTTACCCATTAGAGCTCATATGCTTGAATTGTATGCACAAGTGCTCTACAACCCATCCCGGTGTCTGAACATGAGTTACAGCAGCTGGATTTTTTGTCCTTTATTTGATAAAAATCAGTGAGATAAGTTATCATACTGATGGTAATCACAATGCACTGTTTGAAATTTGAAGCTGTGTGGTTACTTCTAACGTGAATGCAATTTTGATGCATGGTCAAACTAGCTTGATTTGCGTTGTCATGTTTTTAGTATTCTTGATGTAATCATTGGTGAGGGCCGGGGTTTTCCTTCGGCATGTGCTAAAAGTGATAGTTTTTCAGGCATCATTTAGAATCACGGCAACTGCAGTTATTCTGGAGTTTAACCATGCTGCAAAAATTGTTAAGAAGATAAAGCTAGTTGGCGAGCCCTGCAAGATTTATAAGAAAACAGCACTTATCAAAAAAATGTTCACTTCTGATCTTGAAGTAGCTAGGTTTGAAGGTGCATCTATTCGTACCGTTAGTGGAATTCGTGGGCAAGTAAAGAAGGTACATTTTCTTCTGTACATGACTATTTTCATTCACATTTTTTTGTCTATATATCGTCCGTATTGTCAACAGCCATAAGTCAAGTATGTGGCACCTGGTTTGGTAAAAATGGATATCAAAAGCTTAAGTTATGATTGTTGAATATGATCAGGCTGGAAAGATAGAGCTTGGTAATAAGCCTAAAAAGAACGGAGGACAACCTGAAGATGGGATAGCTAGGTGTACATTTGAGGATAAAATTTTGATGAGTGATATTGTTTTCCTGCGTGCTTGGACTCAAGTTGACGTCCCGTGCTTTTACAACCCTCTGACAACAGCATTGCAAGCCCGTGGTGAGACGTGGCGTGGAGTGAGAACGGTTGGAGAGTTAAGGAGAGAATATAATCTTCGAGTTCCTGACAACAAAGATTCCCACTACAAGGTAATTTACATTTATCTCTTGGTCACATGATGTATCTAGGGGTAGGTTCATTTAGGTACCGTAAATATTTTGGGTTCATCAGTTATTCACGATGACTAATATTCATGCACATTTTAAGGTTATTTGTCATATATATTCCATGAGAGAGTTGGTTTTCAGATTCTCAAAATATTTATGGTTCTCATTTGAACTTTTCCGTTTGTATGTATTTATGCATACACATTGCATACTCCTTGGAAACTTATAAGCATTTATTTACATGTTCACTCCAACAGCCGATAGAAAGGCCGTTAAAGAAGTTCAACCCTGTTATTGTTCCCAAGTCATTGCAAAGTGCACTTCCGTTCCGCTCGAAACCCAAGGACACCAAGTCAAAGAAAGATGGAAGAGCTGTTGTCGCTGAACCACATGAACGAGATGTTCATAAACTTCTCCAGCATCTGCAACTGATTAGGCATAACAAGGTACGCTTTATGCTCCTCCTAGTCGACAATTTGTCTCTTCGATGTTTCCATTTCTTATGGCTTGTTAAAGGTTTCAAGTTGATTTTATCTGCATTTCTTGCATCAATTTGTCGGTACCCTTTTGCTTTTGGACCAGTGTGTGTAAATAAGAGCAGTTTTTGGGGGTTGAGAACGGCCAATAATTTGATGTTTTTTGGTTGATTTGCAGATGAAGCAGCAGAAACTGAAGAAGCAGGAGAAGAAGAAAAAGCATGACACGGAGAAAGCGAAAGAAGAGGTGGTGAATAAAAAACGTCAGCGAGAAGAAAGGCGAGAGAGGTATCGAACCCAAGACAAGCTACAGAAGAAAATGCGCAGAGACTGAGTTGAGTTACATTTACTTTGAGGTGGGTTGGCATTTTTGTTAGTTGTGTAACAATGTGATAGATGAAAGATGAGATGTTTTTTTTTAATGATAATTTAGCAGGCTAAAAGCTTTGCAAGGAAGTTTATATATGAAATTGTTCCAATTCATCAATCAGCTGGCCTTTTGTATACGTGGGATTTTTAGCCTTTAAAAGAGGATTGGTGTTATGTGACATCATTTGTGGAATTAAATCAAATTAAATATGGGGTGGGCTAAACGTATCCATTGTTAAATGCGTCATCATCGATCAATTTTCTTCTTATATATGTTAACATCAAGATTTATTTTTTACATTTATAATGCGTGACGGTGCATTTAATTGGTAGGTGCTTAGATTTGTCATTTCATAGCCTTCTTTATGTTTCTTTTAGCAAGGTTATTGATTAGGAGCTGTTTACCAATTTTTTATTAAGTTTTGTATGGATAAATTTGTCTGTATGGATAAATGGGTGTTGTTGTTTACCTTTTTTATTTGAACCTACAGTCTAAATAACATAAATGACCGATTTACCCCCCAATATTAATTATTTGAACATCAAAACAAAAAATCATAGAGGATGAAGATGGGGTGTCTCAAATGGGTAGGAGGCGGTGCTTTAAATAAGGGGTTGGGGTGTCATTTTTATGGGTGAATGGGGACAACACCATTTCTATCTGTGCGATTAAGCCATGTTCTGTGCGAATAAGCTAGATAGACCAATAAGCCTAATTAAGCCGCAAGTAAACAATCCAATGTTTACATTTTTTTCATTATACCATGTGGGTTAAGACGTCCCTATATAAATTTATCTATTGGATAGGCAGGAAACCGATGGGTTTCAGGGAGGCAAAAGAGAGGGTGGGATTATTTCTGACATTTATGGTATTAACTTCTTTTTGTGGCTTAATGGAGAAAACTGAGTAGTGCTGGCTGAGCAAATAAGCTGTCCAAACTGTTATAGGTGCAAATAAAATATCCCTATCTTGAGTATGAAGCTCCGAGATTCCCAAATACCGTGCCCGGATTAGCATAAAAACACACGTATCTATATCTATATCTATATGTATATATAGATATATATGTTTCAACTATAACAAACACCAGCATTTTAATGAATAAAACATCTGAAATATTACATGAAAGCCATGAACAGCGTCCCGATAGAGATATAAATAAAATTATCCTTTCTGACATGGTTCTGTAAGCACAAAAAACCCTGGGAAATACAAACAACTCTTGTTCGCCCTTCTTCGTACAAACTTATCTTCATCAAACTTTATCTCTAATCCGTTTGCATTGCTCCGGCATGGTACTTCTCCAAATCTGCATCCAGATCTTCTGCCGACACCTTCCCACCACGTTCCCCACCTCGACCCCTACCCCTGCCTCTGCCGCCACCGCCACCACCACCACCTCCTCCTCCTCCACCTCCACCTCCACCTCCACCTCCACCTCCACCTCCACCTCTCATTGTCCTACCACCACCACCACCACCACCTCTAAGTCTCCCCATAACTCCACCTCTGTTTTGTCATTCAGTAAAAAGACGAAAAAAGCACACGAGTTAGTCATGAATATATTATTAGAAAGAAATATGGAATTATGAAATAGGGAAATGCAGATCAAGTGTGAAACAAAATTCAAAGATGTGCCAGGTAAATCTCGTGTGATCAAAAACCTAAAATACCCCTTGATATGGTAAAGAATGAGAAAACTTGTGGACCACAATCAATCTTTTGTAATAATTCTAATGGCCAAATAAATAAAATTAGAAAGAAACCTTTACAAGAAAGAAAGCGCTGCATTTTCTGGCACGACCCAAAATAGAAACCATTTTTACCTATTTGGGGACCGTCCCAGTCGCAAACTAGTTAGAACACATACTAGGATGAGCTTCTTTTGTGGGGGAGCGTAAAAAGCATTACATTCCTCGGAGTACACATGTACCATCCTTATTTCTTTCAAAAACAACTGGTAAGTACCCTTTTCAATTGAAGATCAACTACAACTGCAATATTTCTATTTCCAGTATCCTACTGACATATAAACTAACAAGTACCATGGAAATAGAATTTATATGTGCTAGACGTGCACATAATACCTGCACGATCTGCAGGTTTAACACCACGGCCTTGATTTTGTACAAATTAATCCCACAGTTTGTGTATTGTCATGGTTCATAATTTTCGTTTCAGCTCATGTTAGAATATAAGTCCAAAAACTCTAGAACCATGTGTCCATGTAAAGGTCAGTCATCAAAATCTCGAACCACTGTTGACTATGGTCTCTTGCAACCATTGTCAACAGTCAACTATTCCTCCGTCCGAATCATAAATAGAAAGTAGATCGTTCAAGTTCCCATGCAGCACACGAGGTATAGATGTATTTTACATTAAGCACATACAGATTACAGCAAGTTTTAAGATAATACCTTCTGGGTGCACCATTTTGGCTTCCATACATCACATTGGCAGCAGAAGGCAAGGCAGCAGCACCATCGTTTCCCATGTTTGTTCCTACCAATTCAATCTTCATAGGTTTTCCATCAAGTTGAACATTATCATACCTTTTGATAGCCAATTCTGCATCTCTACGCCGTGAAAAGACTACTTCTGCCGTTCCCTAAGAAAAACACTTCTCATAACTATGGCAGGCAACAAAATTTCTTGGAAGGATGAGAGTATTCCCAAACTCGAGTACCTTTGATCGTCCACTCCTATCATAGTGTATTGAAGCTCGCTTTATGTCACCAACCTCTGCGAAGAGCTCCTACACAAATCAGAATTTTAAGCACAAATTGTAGCTCTATGGTCATCATGCCATGTTTCATTGCAAGCCAAGAAGGCGAAAACATTTGAGGATAGAGCCTTTGGCCCCAACTGATAAACCAAAACAAAAAAAGAAGAAATAATCATTCTGCTACACTACAACAGAAAACCATCCCGTTTAGATGTAAATCTTGTCCAAATTCAACAGTCAGCATAAACAATGACTGGTTATCCTTAAGCCAGTTGTGAAAATTATTAAAGTAAATATCTATTGCTCAACATTGCAGAATTAAGGGGGGAGCTCAAAATATATAGTGATTGATTAAAAGCAGTCATAACCCCATTTTATGCAATGCATGCTTTTGGTTCGTTTAACAGAAGGGAACAAACGCAGATTACGTCCTACAGTTGACTGGGAATGACTGTTGGTTTATCTCATTGCTATATACTCTCAGCAACTCACTGTTGCTCAGAGACTGGCAGTTCGGGGACAGGTGGGATTTGTCCAGGATAGGAACCGAGCCTGCCAGCCTGGCAAAGCTACCAATATGCTGCTTTCTTGAGAAGAGCACAGTGATCAAAGGGGGCCATGGATGTTGCAGACTTGCAGTTTAAGGGATAGTTCCATTAAAATGAATGTGAAGTACTGAATAAGCAAGAACTCCGGAGAAACTTGGAGATCCTATCTAGATTGACGCTGAATGAAATAGATGTGGTTTGATGTTTGTCCAGTATGAACCACAAGAGCAACATAAGTTATCTTTTTATCACACAGAACTATCTAAGCAGACTATCTAAATCCAATAGTTCTGATTTGTGTTAGGAAGAACTATTTGGCATTCTTTACGTCCCACGATTTTGCACATGAACAAGATAATACTAAAGTGTACCAAGCCGAAATTTATAAGTACAGGGATGCAAAATTTCCATTTTCTGCAAACATAATGCTCCCATATTGCTGAGGACATTTGAAGTATTCAACAGGTTGACATTGCCATGGTAAAACCTATAAAGGTCAAGTTGAATACAGAACTGAAGTTAAAAGAGTTTACAGTAAGGAGATCAGGCAGGCTTTCATAGAGAGCATTCTACTGCTCAGGTAACAATTGGCAAAACAACAAGTTTTCAAGCAAAACACCTCCTAATTACCTCTCAGAACACAACACTATTGATGGAGATCCACATCAGCACCTCCGATCATACTTCACCAACACGGTCATGAACCACTTTCTCACCTTATTATTGCTGTTCAATCATTCAATACCAACCATTCCTTCAGATTCCCATCTTCTGTTGCATGTTATGTCAACTTCAAGCCCTTTATATCATGAAAAAGGAGGCGTGATGTCTATCCTTCCATTCGTCTTCCACTTCTTCGGATTTTTCAGATATGAATGTAAATAGGGGTATATATGAATGCTGATTGTAAGTTGTTGAGGAAGATGGCAGAAAGATAAAGAATTCAAGAAATTGATGATAGTTTTGCAACCTATCAAGTAAGACTAATACCAATTTGTAAGTTCCGGTCCAAAACTTTCCAACTTTTTCTCAGCCGTGTTCCAAAGTGCAACCACAACAGCCCTGTTACTCACAGCTACTTACGGAATGCTAATAATCGGACAAAGGACACCAGTCCGTGCCTAATTTTTTTTTTCTAAAATGCTTAATTCAGTGGCTCATTGCTGACCATAGTGGTAACAAATGCTTAACTCATAGGCGTCCAATTAAAACGACCTTAGCTAATGAAAGTGGTGGGGGACAATATGCCTAGGTGGTCTCCTAAGCAGCCCTAAGAAAGAATATTTAGAACACTTTGGAGCAATCGACAACCATATTAGGCAATAGGGGGATATGTTGCACAGCAAATAACAAAGATTACTTGGATATTTAGCTTCTGTATTCCTTACAAGGTCATCCCACATAAGATGCCTACTTTCCAAATTGAAATATTTTTAACACACTTTACTTATATTCCCTTTTAAGGGACAATTGCTGACTTGCACCACCAAAAATAGACAATGCTGTACTTCAAAGCTTCACTATTATGTGTTCCCATAAACTATTAGTGAGCAAAGCAGAAAGGTCATAAATTTTGTGCAAATACCCAAACCGATCATAAATTGAGACCTATTGAGCATTTAACTAACACCTTCGGCATCTAAACTGCTTGTTCCATTCCAGAGTGTCTACCATTGACCGGTAACACAACACATCTGACCAGCCAAATTCAGTTTGCAATATCACATAGGTACATATACCGTACAAATACATATATATATACACACACACACACACACACGTACATCCAACAACATACAAGCTTTGTAATCATAATTCATTAATTAAGACCCAACATATTCTGAAGTAAATCCTACAAAATTACCTTGATATCCTCATTGGAAACACCATAATCCAAGTTAGTTATGAGGAGTTTTGTGCCCGTCTCTATTCCTGACGATACTCTGTTTGATCTTGCAGGGTGTGCTGTAGCATGACCTTCAAACATGTCGTGTCCCCATGTTGTATCTGGTGCTTCCACCTGTAGGATGTTCGAAACAAAACCACACAAATCAACCTATTTATCGGCGAGTTGATACTTGACACTACTGACTCATGCAAACGGACGCATTTTAGGGGGGGGGG